ATTTTCAAGGTAGTAGACCAGGAAGGCACCTGATCCTCAATAATAAAATTGTTTTTGGGGCCTCTATTGTGAAAAGTTTTTTTCCACTGGAAAAATGCACATGGAATCTTTCTTTACTTAGCTCCTGAGGCCAATGAACACCAACCACCCCCTGCAAACACAGCTTGTTTTCAACAGGAATGCTCTTGGTTTGTTGTTTCATTACTGAGCTTCATTAGCTGAAAAAGCAAAGGAGCTGAGATCTGACAACAATGAACACTTAGTGAAAATAGCTTGACTGAAAACCTCTGAGCTCCAAAGTGCAGCAGCTTAGCTCAGAAGAGACTGAGTGCAGCGTAGCTCCTAGCTCAGTCTTGCACCTCAGAAGATGGCTCAGCTAGCTCAGCCAAGTGCGCCTGAACCTCAGCTTCACTCAGGTCAGGCAAGCTCAAGGCCAACAATTAATAACATGGATCCACCTAAGGGTAAGTAACCAATTGAGGAGGAACAGAAAAGAAACAAAAAACAAATCAAATTCAAACTGAGGAACCTCAGCATCAATGTTCCACTCAGACATTGCTTGAGGAGCGACAGTGGTCAGCTGAAGTGAGGCTGAGACTTGAAGCCTCTCAGCCTTCAGCAAAGAAACTTAACCCACCAACCAAACCCATCACCCAAGCCACAACCAACAAAAAAGGCCAAAGCCTTCAGCTAATGAATCTGAGCAGCTTTGACCCTGAGCCCTTGTGCCCTGGTCTGAACAGCTTCCCAGTGGATGGCAGCTGAGGAGAAAGGATGGGCCTGAGCAACCAGCTGAGCCACAGTTGGCTGAGGTTTGTTGGCCCACAAGATGTCCAGCTCAGGGCGCAAGCAATTGCTGAGGATCCTCTCCTCATCACTGAGCAGCTCTGCTGAGGCTGTTTGGCCATAGATGGCCTGAGAGCTGGCTAGCTAATGGCATTTGCAAAGAATCAATAATATAGAGGCTCTTGCAAGAGAAGACAAAAGAAAAGTATTATTAATCAATATATATATATATATATCTTATGACTAATTAGACTGGGTTGCCCTGAGGAACCTGTCATACTGAACACCCTCTTGTGTCTTGAGGATTGCAGCATGCAGCAGCAGGTCCCACTCAGCCATTTGCTCCTGAGCTAGGCGCACTAATTAATAGCTCTGGGCAAATGAACCACTCAGCAAAACAAAGACAGCAAAATGACACTAAGATGAGAACAAGGTTCAGTCAACTGCCACTGAGAGACTGGGCCTGAGATCAATGACCACCTCTTCTGGCAGAGAAACTCAGTAAAGAGAGCAGAGCCTCCCTGAGCTGGGTCAAACTCAGTGAAGTGTTGGCTCAGGTGCCTGAGAACATCCCAGCTGTTCCCTCCTTGGGCATCTAGCCTGAGTTCCACTGAGCTGAGCTTGTTGCTCAGAAAAAGGAGGTGCTGAGAAATGTCCTCTAAGGCCTGAAGATCACGCTCCTTCTGGTCCTCAGAGGATTTCCAAAGTTCCTCACTGACATCCATGGAGCAAAAGAACTATCAAAGAACAAACCAGGAGCAAACAAAGGAGCACAAAAGTGTTCACCCAAGTCTGTACCAGGATCATTCCTGAGCTGCTCCAAGTGCCATGCCAGCTGAGAAACAGGGCCTGAGCTCAGGCACATCAAAGCCTTCACCATGAAGGCTGAGAGCAACAGGGCTGAGAACCAACCCTGAGCTGAGCTGAACTGATGGCAAAACATGGATGCGCAGCAAAAAACAAATCAATTTAAAAACTACAAACTATAAACATAATGAAGCACTGCCCAAGGTCCAAAGCTTCAAGGCTCAGGAGCTCTTTCACCTGAGCAACCCTAGCAGCCAAATCCACTGAGGTCCCACCTCAGCTGCAAGGGTGTCCAAGTGAGTGAAATATATAAACCATATTGCAAGTACAAAAATGTGAAACACATGCGTGAATTAAATACAATAGAAAGAACTCCATTAACCAAGTGCAAGTGACTGGCCAAGCTGATGCTTGAGCAACAGCACAAGCTGAGCGCAATGAAGGCCTTGAGCTGTGGTCCCATGGCTGCTGAGTCCTCAGTGTACCAAGCTGAGTTTGATGCGCTGAAGTTCAAAAAACCATCAGCCAAAACAACAAGCATAATTACTCAACCAAGCTCGAAGCAAAACAGAAATTTTTTGAACTAAGACCAAGTGCAGGCCAGCTGAGCAAAGAATGCTGGGCTCTCTGAGAATGCTGAGAATGCTGCTGGCACCACCAAAGCATGCTGAGTGATTGCACACGCGACCCTGAGACCCTGGAACTGAGACCCTGGAACTTTGGTGATTGACTGAGAACCTGAGACCATGCACTCCCACTTGGATGACCGGCGGTTGTTGCAAATGGATGGCTGTGTTGCTCCACTTGGTAAGCGGGTTGCATGTCTGCTAAGCATGACTTACAATTGCGCTAACACTATGTTAGCAGAGTTGCAAGTGAGCCAAAACCAACAACATACATGCAGCAGTTGCTAGCCACTTGCTAGTGGCAGCTATGTACATAGATGTGTGCTATGTCTGGTGCAATACTTAGCCCCAAAGTTAAGTCGTACATAGCCATGTTGGCTATGTGTTTCTATGTCTAATAGAGAGACTTAGGTGCACACCCTAAGTATATATACACTGTTTGCTAAGTTCATCTAAGTATACTTAGCCCTTTGGCTAAGTCTACTTAACCTTCTTGGTAAGTCTGCCAAATCCATGTGGCAGCGCGTGGAAATTTGTGTTTTGTGGGCGGAGTTTTCTTTTTTTCGGCGCGCTGCGCGTTCGTGTGGGCGTTGTGCCAACACTACCAAACTTGATGTTTCAAGGCACATTTTAGGAATCAGCGTGCGGCGATTCGTTTTTTACCTGTTTGTTCGCCTCGTGAATATCGTTTTTGGTAGGCCACCACTCCGTTGGCCCATGTGGAACTTACTGAACGTGGGTGACTCTTGCTAGCATGTAGGGATGCAACCGCTGGACAGAAAAAATATCATAGACCCCAACCCACGGTCCATTAGAGAAACGTGGCCTGTCAAACTTTCAATCTTTAAGAGCCGCAAGTGTGTGAACGTTTGCAACTACAGGCTGTTGTTCTTTCTAGGAGCCTTTTGCCCACGATGTGGAACATATGGTTTGGAAGGCATACTTAGGCCAACATCAAAACACAGTTGTAAAGTGGCGTTTCACAACTCACAAAACAAGAGGAAACCAAAACTTCTATTGCCTATATCCAGAAGTGTTGTTTCCAATCCTATTTAAATGGAAACGCAAAACCACACAGCGCAATCAACGTTGCGGAGCTTCCGCGCTCGACACTCCGGGCGGCGGCTGCCTGCAGAAGCAGGCGCACAGATCCGAACCGCGAGTGCCGCTGCGATGGGGTTGGAAGAGTGTGTTTTCACGAAGCAACTTCATTGTTTGCAAGAATTTTGTGGCGTTTCGCACATGCCTTCAGGTTTGGATGCGGGCGTGTGGTGTGTGTTCTCAGGTAGATTTGTGTGAAGGGCGGGCGGCAACAATGTGTTTTTTTGTGGTTGTAGATTTAGGTTGTGGGGAGAGCTGTTTATTTGGCAGAGGTTGCACCTCAATTAAAGAAAGGGACCCTCGAAACACCGGTCCTTTAAAAGGAACCCTGTAGGGGGGGGGGGGGGAACAAGCTTACTTTCATGTTCAAAGCAAAGGCAGGGCATGGAATGCTCGCCCAGCAGGCCGACTGCGCTCGCTGCGTTGGCTCAGTTTGAGTTTTGAATCAGTGGTTCCAATCATGGACGCAGCAGTGAAGAATGAGGTGGCCCAAGCCATCAAGGCCGCTGAAGAGGGCGGCTTGGTGAAGGGCGTGAGTCAGATCATGACCGTCTTGCAGAAGCACAATTTGGTGCGAGAACAGATCCTGGAACCTGGTGTGGTAGGAACACATCCCGAGAACCGGGACGGCTTTGGCATCTCGGCACTGGACACACACAGTTTGCTCCAATCAATCAGTGAGATTGGGTTTGACGAGCGCCAGTGCAATGCAATCTGCGTTGAAGTATCTTCGTCAACCTTGGACAAGGCCTATTCTTTCAATGCAGAGCTCGTCCGCCAAAGTATGGGACTCCTGCCACCAATTCCCAGGGGAACTCTTCGATACCTTTCATTGTCTTGCAGCCACACCAACGCTGCGCTCAGATGCTTGATTGCAGGCAGCCCCAGCAAAAGCGAGACTTTGTCTTTGGATGGTCGCCTACACCTTGGTAGAGCTTCTTCCCTGGACCCAATGCTTGGGAAAGCGTGCAGGGAGGGAATCAAGTGGAAGGTCGTCAACTCTGAGGTGGACCTCGAGTTCCCAAGCTTTTCTGCGTTGGTGCAGGCCAGTATGAACACGTCAGTCAGCAGAGGAGAACACGAGGCCCAGATGCTCCTTCGGATCTTCAAAGCACAAGAGAGCGCAAAAGATCTCGGTAAACCTTTCACCTGGGATGAACTACGTGCCCGTCTTTTGAAAAGCAAGCCTGCTTGCGCTGCATGCATGCCTGGAATGTTCAAATTCTTGAAGAAATTTGGAGGCGGCATGTTGGCGCGCACAGAAGCTTTCATCAAGTCCAGTGCTGGCTCAAGTCGACAGCTTGGCCCTGATTTCTTTGAACACTTGAGCCTGGATCCAAAACCACAAACACAGAATCCTTGTGTCATGTTCCGTCACGCCCTACTTGTGGCTGGGTACACTTGTCCCATTGACAAGTTTCTGAACGCGAGTGACGTGAAGAAGTTGTTTGCCAAGGATTTCATGCCAGACAACATTGCTGCCAATGCCATGATGGGTGAAATTGACAGTCTCATCAAGGCAACATTCCCCACGGAGCACCCGCACAAGTCCGAGATTGACCAGTTGCAAGTGGCCTTTGAAAGGAACTTGGTGATGGTCGCCCTGCAGAAGAAGCACAAAGACTTGCCTGATTTGGCTGATTTGAATGAGTGCGCCATTGCCTTGTGCAGTGGCATTGAAAAGGCTACTGGTGGCACCGTGCTCTCCACCACATGGAAGGCCAGCGAAGCATCATCTGCTTCGTGTACCACTGCAAAGGCCGCCCCGGCACCTCCGTGCCTTTGCTCAGTTCATTAAAGTTTGCACGGTTTGCATTCGGGTTTGGGAGCAGAACTTTTTCTTTTTCAATCACCATTCCCCCATCGTTCGAACGCAAAAAGATCGCTCAAAGGCAAATGCGGGAGTACGATGAGAGCGGCAACCTCAAGAATCCAGCAGTTCTGCTGGAAGAAAAGGGCTTCAGTGTGGGGAAGTATGTGGTGAGAAAAAAGGATAAAGTGCTTGGCCAGATTTCGGCCATCAGTGCTGACAAGGTCACCCTAGAGGTGGATGGAGATTTTTACCGAGTTTCTTGGGAAGGGTTTGTGAGCGGACAATGGAAAGTCACCGATGCACCTGCTGAGAAAGAGCCAATTGATCTGAAGGCTTGTTCACCATCTGATTCCTTGGAAGTCGAAACTCAGATCTGCAAGGGCCGCATCCTGCAGAAACTTTGTGAACTTGAGCGCAAGCATGCCGATTGCCTTGAAAAGATCAGGGTGTACTCCAAGCCTCGGTCTGTGGAAGCAAGCCAGCCTGTCAATGTTGGCAAGATGGTCCTCGTCCCAAGCACTTTGAGAATTGAGTGTGTTCGAGACTATGACCCATTCGAAGGGCATGGTGGCATTTGCCTGGGGCTATGTGGTGCGGAGAACGCAACTTTCTTTTTGCAACCCACATGCATCCCTCCAGCGGAAGATAGACCTGGTTTCATCGCACCCTTCTGGATGGTGAAGGGTACACCCGATCCTGAAATGGCAAATTGCAAGGTTGCGCCTCTCGTAGCTGGGACTGATCGAAATGACTCTTTGTCCAAAATTCCAGTGCTGAAAAATTTCAAAGCGCTAAAGGAAGGGGATGTTTTGCTTCAGCATGTGGCCCCGAAAGTTGTTGAGCTTGAAGCTCTTGAGTCCTTACCCAAAAGGCGCCGCGCGAAGGGAGCCTAACCAGAAATAAGATGTTGCCCAAAATGCTTGCCATGTGTTATTCATGAAGCAGCTTTTCTGTTACAATATGTTGTTACAATTGCATTTGCTGGTGTAAATGGCTTGCAAGGGTCAGATTTTGCTTTGGAGGCGCAAGACTGTATTGGTAAGAAAAAGCAGGGCCGTACGTGCTCGCGGCTGCAGGGATCCAATGGTTCTCGCAGTCTTGTGGAGTCGAACGCGTCGTTCGAAGTGATTGCCAGGCTCATTCAAACACTTGAAGCAAGGTGTGGGCTCCCAGCAAATCCATCGTGAGTTGATGGCTTTGCCTTTGATTGCAAACTGTGCATGTGGACTGCGCCGCAGACTTGTATGTGTCTACCCTGTTCCCTCTTCGTGTGGAAGGTCGTTGAGAATTTGTACTAAGCTGGTTTAGTCAACCTGTGGTTGCGAGGCTAAGCGTGGTTGCATCCAGATTGGTGTTGCGTGTTTGTTTTAGAGCAAGGAGTGACACCAAGCTCAAGTAGTAGGGGTGCGTGGGTGCCTACTCGTGTCCAGCCACCCATGCCTAACAATGCAGCAGCTCACATGGCAGCTGCTTTCCGACTGGGTTTGCCTTCGGTTGCCGCAGCAACAAGTGGCGGTGACGGTGCGCAACACACCTGCAGGGAGGAGAATCGTCATAACGCAGAGATGGACAAGGCTGGCTGTGTAAGTGGTGCAGAGAACAGCGGAGCGTGTGAGAGTATGCAAGTCCACCATGTGTGTGTTTTTGGGTGTGCGTGTGTGAGAGGCGTAGGGTTTACATGTCTTGTAGTTGATGTTAGGAGCTTTATAGTCATGTTTTCCTCTGTCAGGTTTCTGCCGTTGCTGTGAAGGATGCCACGTCCATCAAAAAGGTCAAGAACCCCTACTCAGAGAAGTTTGGGACCCCAGAGAAGAAGAGGTATTTGGGTACTGCTGGCGCAACTCCAGAGGAAGACATTGGCAAGAAACAGAAGACAGACGTCGCCGCTAGTCCGGCGGCCAGTGAGGGGCCCGCAGACGATGAGGACTCGCAAGAGACTTTGGTGCTGGGCGCAGAACGCTGAAGGGGTGCTCCTAGTTCAGAAGTCTTTTTCCACGATGCTTGCGTTTCCAACGTTCGCAAAGTTTTTGGAAGCTCAGGAAGGGCTATTCCAACCTCTTAGAAACCACAAAGTTGTTGTGCCTTGAGCGGCTCGAGCTAAAAGAAACTGCTGTCCCTGGTTTTGGACCCCTAATCAAGCATGATGGCGTGATTCATACAAGCCAGGTGCTTTTGTTGAAGAAAGGTTGAAACCACAGCTGTCCAGTCATGTTGGGCAGGAGTCATAGGAGCCCTTGATCCATTGTGTGAAGTTCACATCTCGCAGGGCCATTTTGTGCTCGCGTCGCAGGGCCACTATCAAGTGATTGGCTCGCGACCAATTGTGAAAGTAGAGCATTCCTCGAGCTGCGTCATGTGCCGGAGAATGGATTCTTCCGCCAGCTTTTGCGCTGAAGATGCAGAGGAACCAGACAAAGCAGCTGCCTTGTCAATCGAACAGCAGTGGGTTGTGCGTTTCACAGAGCCCGGAAAGAAAACCCGGACTTGGGTGCCAACTGTGGAGAAGCACGGCCCGCTTGTCTTCTGCAAATTGCAGAAATTCGACCGACAGTTTGTGATGTTTGCCACCGGCCAGTCTTTGGACAACAAGGGGATCAACTGCAACACGAAAGGCTTCGATGGGATTCTGGGCCGCAGACGGGCTGCTAGCATTCAGGCTATTGCAAAAGCTCGAGAACCGGCCGATGCAAGCGAAAAGTGCTCTGCAAAAAGGAAGATCACAACAGCTGACTCAGAGCTTCTCAATGAGAAATGGGTGCTAGTGGAGTTGGAAGAATTAGAGTGCGAGAGTTTCACGAGTGAGGAGGCCAACAAAACGGCCAAATGCCTTTGGGGACTGCAGAAAACAGACCTGTGGATCGAGTTTACAGCCAAAAACTTGCTGTACATGAGAGCTTTGATTCGTCGGGACTTGGCGCAAAAGCAATTGGGTGAAGGTGAAGGGCAAGAAGGCAGCCCTAAAAAGAGCCCTACCAAGAAGCGAAAGGTACGCAGCCCCAAGCTGAGTCCCAGGCACAAGCTGAGGAGAACGCAACACCACATCGCAGAGGCTCAGCCCAGGTCACCACAGCCCACCATTGAGGTTGATGAGACTCATGTCAACGCGGAGTGATGATTTTTTAGGCATCCGTTATGAACCTTTAGGTTGCTGAGTGAGAGCGCATTGAGAAAAGGCAGGTTTCTAGAGAAAGAGCGAACACCAATTTTCTTGAAAGGCTTTCCTTTTCTTTGCAAGGATTCCCTTTCAGCAAGTGGCTGCACAATTGTCTTGAGAATGTCCACATCATGGTGATATGGCAGGGTCAAAACCTCTTGCGCAAATGTCAGCTCTCCCCATCCTTTAGCCATCCTTTCTGCGTTTCTAGTTTTGAAGTTTTCGTCAGTGGCGCGAACTCAGCCTACCTATATACATGTGTTTTCATTTGTATACATTTGTTTTTGATAGCTTTTTGTCAGTTACTGTGCGTGGCTGTCGTGCTTGCATTCAGATGTTTATTAGCAAAGCTTGTCTAACTCTAGAAGTGATGGGAAAGTGGAGTTTTGCGTGAAATCGTCATGTTGCTCAAAGTGCAGCTTTTCACAAGGCAGTAACATTCACAGGATAATTCAAAGGTCACAGAATTGTACAGGGCCGTCAGGAAGACTTGTTGGCCATCGGTGTCCGTCACAGCGCTTTGAGTTTTGCACCATGCCGGTGGCCTCGCCGCAAGGTGAATCGGACATTGCAGCCTCTCAGGATCCTAAGAACTGCTTCAGTGGACTTTAGCCCCGTCATTTTTGGCAATACTGATTGAAGTGTTGCCCAACTTTTTTGGTTCAGGTCATGTCCACGGCCTTCTTTCATGATTTTAACAATTTATGAGTTTGATTCGCTGCCGAAACGTTGCCATTATATCCGAGGACCAGTGGGGAGACGATGACCTTCAACGTCTACTGAAAGAGCGCATACATGCAGCCGTGCCACCAGCGCCTTCTTCTGACCAGACTGGGGGCACAGACAACTGGACAGAAGAGGAATGGGCTGAATGGATGGAGTGGGAAAGAGTGAAGGAGGAGCAAGAAGAGAGCGACGCAGGAGAAGAGCAACCAACAGCGACAACCAAAAGGGCAACAGTGAGTGGGGCCGCAATCAGTGGTCTGGCAGTGATCACTCAGCCAATTGTCAGACGTGGGAGACTACCCCCTACAAAAAGCCATATTGGGCAAGGTCCAAGGAGTCCAAGCGTCAAAAAGGGCGACAAGATTCATGGGGAGGCCACTATGTCCGTGGTGGCTACTATGATTATCGTGGTGTTTTCTATCAGCTTCTCGGCAGAATGTGAGAGTTGTAATTTAACGAGGATAGTATGGAACATGTGCAACTCGATCACCCTACTGTAAAGCTGGTATGTCAAAGGGGCGCGCAGCGGTTTCAATTACATCCGTGATGTCACGAAAGCAAAACAACCTACATTTTGCAGCAGTTCACCCAGTGGCTTTTGATTTTCCTGAGTTTTCCCAAAAGATTGTTTGCCAGGCATGGGCAAGGCAGATCGCGGAAGAGAACCCGCGGAAGTGGAACGCTGAGGGAGACCGTTATGCTTGACACCTTCAACAAGTTGGCCACTGCGCTCATTGAAAAGCGCTGACTGTGAACCGAGGCGTCCACATAGTGCTAGGGAAGCGTCACAATAAAGCAAAGCAGAATAGTCATGAATAGGCAAGTGTCCCAAAGGTTTCAAAACAATGCAGCCACAAACATTCTTTGTTAAGCAGCGCAATCAAGTTTGCAAGAGTCTTCGGAAGTGCACTGTCATGGATCCTTTCGGGCACCGTGCCGCCTAACATGAACGAAGGCAGGGCAAGTAGCATTGAGAGCATGAAGGCTACCTTTTGCGCCAAAAAGCCTCATGGTCCTATGTAGATGTACAGGAGAAAAAGTTTCAGTCTCACACCGCCTTACCTTTGAAGGCAAATGACAGCGAAACCTCCAGCGGCGTTTTTACTCTACCGTTTGCTGACCGGGCGTTCACGCTTTGAGCTGGTGGCCTTACAGCGTTACAAGTCTTTGTGGCACCAACAATCCAAAATGCAGGTTGGTACGGTTGGGTGTCTCCTGCCTCAGTTTGTCAAGCGCGAGCGAGAGTCTATAGTTATTAGTTGACCGTTTTTCAGAAGCAGGGGCCCCACTTAGTTCTTTCCACGCAATCCGCCGAAAACAGTTGCAAGGCCGGCTTATAGGGTTCACTTTGGTTATAGGTGTTCTTCCTATTTTTCATTGGTGCCAAAGTAGGCGTTCTGAATATGGCAGAAGGAGTGCGACCAACACCGCCTGCAAAGAGTAGTGAATTAGTGTTGTGCTTTCTGCGCACTGTCCGCCAGAGGTCTGGCAAGGTGTGCTCCTGGGAGCATTGGACAGGCTTGTTGATGGACGCGATACTGGACCACCTAAAAGAAAGAACAATTAGGATACAGGATACCCGCTTCTATCATGGTACATATGCCCATACCCGGGACAAACCTCCAATCTCTTTTGCATACTGGGCCTTGAGAGAGGGGAAGCCTTGTGGCATGCTTTCAAGGAGAATACTGCTCATGCTCGGACAGCGAACCATTTTGCAAAGAAGGCAAATTGAAAGGCTACAAACTCTGGTTATTATGTTTACATAAATGAGAAAGCTCGGCAGGTCATGTGTAGGTGGTTTGTGTGGAAACCCAGTTCTTGCTTTCAAAACCTGGAGGCGTGAAGGCAATGTACATTTGGGTGGAGGCTGCGTTGTGGGGGTGCTGGGGTCGAATTCGGTGGAGGCGCTTCGCCCCCAAAACGGAGCCCTGTGGAATATTGTAAAGATGGGTTTAAATTTTCTGTTTGGTTGTAGAAAATATTGAATTTACAGATTGTCTCCGATCGGAA